ACTTGGATGAACATTTTTTTAAAAATTAAATTTCAAGTAGCAGTACAGCAATCATTACAGCAGCTCACATTTATGCAATGCTGCCTAATGTACATTACCTTTGATCCTAGTAACAACCCTGCCAGGTAGGTGCTATTATTATTCCCATTTTACTGATGAGGAAACTGAAACTCAGAAAGGTTTAATGATGCGCAGAATCACAAAGCTATTTTCTGATTATAGGTTCAGATGCAAGTCTCTGTCATACCACGTCTAGCACTCCAATGGTAGTGCGTGAGTGTGTGTATGTGTGAGAGAGAGAGAGACCGACAGAGACAGACAGAATAAGTGTGTGTGTGTGTGTGTGTGCGTGTGCGCGCGCACGCAAGCACACATGTGTGTGTTAGGGCAGCAGAGGTACACAGATATTATCATTGGGCTTCTAGGTTCTCAGATATCTTTGTGAGAGGTAGGCAGGTGGGAAAAGTAAGAATGTTCTAAAGGCCAATTAGAGATTAAGTAGAACTGTCTAATTACTCTCAGGACATTACTGGGCATTGCAAAGGTCATAGAAAGCTGTTTCCCCCACTGCTTCTTCTCTAGTCCTTGACTTACAGAGAGCAAATACAGACCTTCCGCCTCTGGCTTCTCCATTACCAGAGTCCAGGATATTATTTGCAAAGGCCTGCCCCAAACACTCCAACACCCATTTTGGGCAATTTTTACTAGTGGAGGTGAGACCCCAATGCCAAATATACAGATGCAAATTTATAAACTTTAAGTGGTATATCCAAATCCCTGCTGTCTCTTGGCTTTCCTCCCTCTTGTCTGAAGGCTCCTTTTCAGTACCCTTTTGCTGAATAAACATTTTCCTCTGACCCGGTAGGTATGAGTGTCTCCCAAACACTCTGTCTTGGGCCTTTTTCTCATTCCTATTGCTTTCTTCTGGCAAATCTCATCAGGCTCCAGGGGTTTAACGGTCACATCTGTGCAAACAATTCCCAAACCTATATACCAGCTGAACTTTGACCCTGCATCACCAACTCAACATGTCCAAAACAAGTATTCGTAATGTTCCCCTAGACAACGTCTTCCCCCAAACTTCCACACTTCTATCGAAGGCATCACCATCCTTGGAGGCCCCTAGATTTCTGGCCTTGGATTCACGCTTCATTCTTCATCCTTCCCCTCACCCCCATTCAACCACTTGCCAAATCTTGTGGACTGGCCTCCACAATATCTTTGGCATCAGTCACCTTCTCACTACTCCTGGGATAGAGCCTTGACTGATGCCTACACTTAGTTAACAGGAAGAGGAGGTAGATTCAGCAAAGGATACCAAGAAGGAAAGGTCAGATAGGCAGGAGAACTAAGAGAGAGAAGTGATTCTGATGCACATTAAATTTATAAACTTGCTACCTTGTATCTCCTAGTGTAGTTCAGGTCCTCACCACCACTGGTATTTATTATCCACCTGTTATGTGGCAGACACTGTGTTAAGTCCTGAAGATACAAAGAAAGGTAAGAGACAGCCCCCTCTCTCAAGAAGTTCACCGTCTAATGGGGAAGACAAACTGCAAAGAACTCGGTACATACAAGACACATACCAGTGGAAATTGGAGGTAACCACCAGAGAGGCAACAGTAGCATAAAGGATAAGTTTCTTGCAGACAGGCTTCCAGGAAGCCAGGGAAGATGGCAGGTAAGGAAAGAGAGAATTCTTGGCATTGGGGACTGCCAGTGAAAACATACAGGGCAGTTAGGTGGCAAAGTGGATAGAGTGCTGGGCCTGGAGTCAAGAGGACCCAAGTTCAAATCCAGTCTCAGAGACTTCCTAGCTGTGTGACCCTGGGAAAATCACTTAACCCTGTTTGCCTCAGTTTCCTCATCTGTAAAATGAGCTGGAGAAGGAAATGGCAAACCGCTCCAGTACCTTTGCCAAGAAAATCCCAAATGGGGTCACAAAAGTCGGACATGACTGAAAAACCGACTGAATAACAACAAATGAAAACACAGAGCTGGCAGATGGAGCGTCTTGTTTAAGGAACAGAAATGAGGTCAGTGTTACTGGATCATAGAGCGTGTGAAGTGCAGCAAGGTGTAAGAGGATTGGAAAAGGAGGAGGGGGTAGGTTATGAAGGGCTTTGAATGACAAAAGGATTTTACAGTTAGTCCTGGAAGTGACTAGTTTACTGAACAGGGGAAGTGATATGGTTAGATGTGCACTCTAATAACTGAGTAGACAATGGACTACAGTGGAAAAAAGACATGATACAGGGACACCAACCAGTAGTTGGCTAATAGCAATAGTCCACGCGTGAAGTGATAAGGGCCTGTACATAGGTTATGAGAGGAAACAAGGGAACATATATGAGAGACGGTATGAAGTTAGAATTGACAGAGCTTGGCAGCTGATTGGATATGATGAGGGGGGAAGAGATTGAGGATAACACCTAGGCTGGGAGCCTAGGTGACTGGGATGATAGTGGTACCTTCCACAGTAACAGTCTGCTAATTAGTCTTCCTGCTTCTAGTCTTGCCCCTCCTCAATCCACCCTCCACACAGCTACCTAAGGTCACTGTCATTTCCTTTCTCAAAAATCTTCCCTGGCCCTCCACTGACTCTAGCTTTCAAAGCCCTTCCCAATCTAGCTCTGACCTGCCTTTCCACTTTTATTTCATATTCCATATTAACACCCTCACATACTCCACTCCAAAGTATCCCCTTTGGTGTTCCCTAGAAATAACACTCCATCTCCTGCCTCTGACTGTGTCTTTGTTCAAGTGGCCCCCAAGTCTGGAATGCCCTCCCTAACTTCCTTCAAAGAGCACCTCAGCTACTTCCTCCTACGTGAGTCTTTTCCCAATCACCCCAATTGTTAGCCATCTTTCTCAAAATTATTTTCTTTTACTTTGCTTCCCATGTACAATTTCTATGTATTGCATACACCCCACACTTCTAGCCTCAAGAGAATACCAGCTTCCTGAGGGCAAGGATTCAACAATTCTGTATCTGAAACAAGGAGCACACAGTAGGCAATAAATGTCAAACGGAATCAAGAGAGTTGATTGAGGGGTCTTCTGAGACAAAGGTTTGGGAAGAGAAAGGGGGGATGAAAGCTAGAGGGGGCAATCCCAGGGTATTCTATATATAGGTGGTAACTGAAACCATGTGACTGGATGAGTTCTCTCAGGGAAGGAGTTAGAAGGCTCAAGCAGATGTGAAAGGAGCAAAACTGAGTTGCAGCTCCCCTGTCCTGCCCCTCTCACCCTCTCATTTTAAACCCATTTTGGCACCAGGCCTATGCTAGTGAGAAGGGAGGAGCAGCTAATAGGGAGACACACACTCAGCTTTGGTGGTGGGAGTTAAAAACAGGCTCTGTGCATCAGGAGGGGAATCCACAGGGAGTCTCTGGCTTTTAAGCCACCCAGAAACCCTACAGCAAGGATGCATCTGGGGCTAGGTTGGTCCAGGCCCCATCCACAGAGGAAATCACTGGGCTGGCTGAATAGCTCTGGGTTAGCCCTGTACATGGGACCAGAAGTTGATAAAGCTGAAAGGCACCTTAAAGATCTTAAGAGTCCAACCCCTTCATTTTACAAACAGGCAACTGAGGTGGGGAGAAGGGTACTGATTTGCCCCAGGGTTAAAAAATATAGCATTTGAACCTGCGTTTTGAGATCCCAAATCTAATATTCTTTCCCAAACTCAGGGGAGAAGCCAGATGTCCAATCATCAGTGCAAGAGACTAGTTTTCCATGATTTTTGCCTTTGTTTGTATCCCTAGCTGTTAGCAAAGTGACCTTGTACACGGGAAGCCCGTAATAAATGCTCGGTGACTTACGTCCTGGAGTCCCCAAGCATCTGACAGGCTCAGACTTTGGCAGTAACCCATGCCCATGTGTCCATGCCTATTATATATGCAAATGAGAGAAAGAAACTGCAGGAGTTTGAAGACTGGACTGTGGAGATGGAAGGGATTCGGGTAGAAACGATAGAGGGCAGAAAGAGAGTATGGGGGGAGGCAGGGTTGTTGGTAACTAGTTGAGAAACCAGTGCCCTCGGGCTCTTTCTGTGGACCTTCAGTTAGAGAGGCAGCAGCTGCTCCAGTAACAAGTAAAAGTTAAGGAAAGACTCAGGCAGGCGATCCAGTCACCCACCACTTAAACAAAGCAAGGAGAAAGTGCACCACGATCGTAAAACTGCTGCTTCGGCACACCTCGATCGGTCACATTTAAAGGGGAAAGTTTGTGGGGTGGCTCTTTCCTGAAAGGAAACCCAGGCTTTGTGCCGTGGTGCACGGTTGTTGGGGGATTTGGGAGGTGGGAGCTAGTGGTTACAGAGTCTGCAGCAAGAGCAGATCAAAAGGGAACATTTCCGCTTTGGAGCAGGAGACCAGGGTTCTCGAGGGCGGACGGGCAGGCAGCCAGCCTCCTGGCCAAGGCGTTCAAGGTGAAGGAAGCAGCCTCCTGGCTCCCCCGCCTGCCAACAGGTAGAGCTGGAGCAGCCCAGGCAGGCAGCCGCCACTCCCCCCCACAGCCGAGCCCTGGATCTGGATCTGGGCACGGGAGGGCTTGGCCTTCTGGCTGAGCATCGGGTGGATTCCAAGCCTGAAGCTGGGCTAGGGGCAAGCGGGTTACCGCAGCACTAACGGCTAGCGATCACTGCCCTCCCCGCCCCCAACCAAAGGGCTACCCCGGATCCGGGCGGTCAAGCGCTGGACAAAATGCCGGTTAAGTGGGTGGGCTCCCCCAAGCCCAGCCAGGCTCCGCTCGGCTTCTCGAAGGTCCTCAACCGAAGGCTGTTCCGGGAGCCGGGCAAGGGCGGGGGTCGGGGCTGGGGGGGGCCGGAGCCTTGGGCTGGCCCAGGCCGCACGCTGGAGGGGAAGGACACCCCCTCGGTCCGCCCATCCCCTCCGCTCCCCTCCCACCTTCGCGGGGCCCCCGGCTCGCAGCCCTCTCGCGTCTGGCATCACGCCCCTCTCCCCCCAATTCGGCCCGGGCCCCCAGCCCGGACTCACCGAGGGTCAGGAGCGCCAGCAGCAGCGGCCTCTCCCTCGAGTGGCCCATGCTGGCTGGCGGCGCGAGAGGAACTCCCCTTCCCTTTCTCCTCCGCCTCGCCTCGCCTCGCCTTCTCCTCTGCCTCCTGCTCCCGCAGCTCCGGAGTCAGCGCTCCTGCACCCGGGGGAAGGGGGCGGCGCGCCCGGCCCGCGCCGACTCCACTCCTGCGCCTGCTCCCGCCGAAGGGCTTCCCCAACCGAGACCCTTCAATTCGCGCGCAAGAGCGGCCGTGTATTCCTTCTCTCGCTCTCTCCCTCTTTCACCTCTTCCTTCCCTCCTTCCTTCCTTTTTTTTGGGAGCAGGCGGGGAGCCGGACGCTAGGGCTGGCCGCGGCTACAGTGTGCAGCCCCGACCGCTTCCCGAAAGCAAAACGAAAGAACCGCAGCGCCTGCCAGCCCGCCCGCCCGCGCCTCCCATCCGGCGCTTTGCCAGCAACAAACACAAACTTTCCCAAGCCCCTCCCCACTTCAGGTAACGGGGAGGAAGCGCGGCGCTCTGGGGATCTCTGGGTGCTGCCCGCTTAAAGGGGAGGAGAACTTCCAGACCCCCACCCTCGTGCCCCCGTGCCAAACCTCCTCCGACCTTTAAAAGTTGGGAAATGCCCAAGATTTTTCTAGGAACAAATAACTCCCCAGGAATCTCCCCAAATCAAAGCGCAACTCTTTCCCTTCTCGCGAAATCCCGCGTTTGTTCCCCAAAAGTCACCCCCCACAGAAAATCCACAAAAACTTAACTTTCCACAAATCCACTCCGTTCTCTAACTCCCGCAATCCGGGCCCTGCCTGATGGGATCCTCCAGGAGGACTCCATTCCTGAGTCCTCCACTTTCCCTCTTTTCTCTGAAAAGATAGAGCAGGGGCACTGATCTGACAGGCAGCTCCCTTTCCAATGCTCTAATCAAAAATACAGAAATATTAATATTACGACAGTGCTTTATGTTTGATCCTGTTCGAGTTTTACATTTTTTAGAACTGAAAATATATACAACTCACATACGAATTTGCAACAAAGTAACCAAACATATAATTTTTTTCTTTCCAGTAATGATGCTGTAGTTCTGTATAGTACTTTTATAATCATTACGTCATTGAACCTTGCGGTGGATAGGATAGGTTTTCTACATTTTCTAATTCTATCCAACAAGCTTTTATTCACTAAGCAACTACGATGTGCAAAACCCAGTACTAGGCAGTGGGAATACAAAGACAGAAATGATAAACAGTCCCTCTACAGGATGACTTCTGACAGTAGAGCATTAAATCTCAGGAAGGTCTGGAAAGGTTTCCATTAGATTATTTATTTTACAGATAAGGAAATTGAGGCCCAGAGACATTAAACAACTTGTCCAAGGTAGTATAATAGGTTAGTGTCCTGCAAAGAGGCACAGTGGACTGGAACACACCTTCTTGACTTCCAGGTCAGTGTTTTTTCCACCACACAATAAAAGCCAAGTATTTGGGGAGGGGGTGGGGAATTTAGTCTGCATTGTCTGAATAATTCATAGATGAGTCAGACATATGAAATCAAGGAAATTGCCTGAACCCACTCAATCCAGTGCCTCATTAATATGATAGGGAAAAAACCCCACAGTATTCCTTCTAAGATTACCTCTAATTGATCTTGTCCATGTGTCAGGTATGTCTCAGTTGTATGTAGTTGTTGGTATGGTTTTGCCCTCATTAGAATGAGTTCCTTGTGAGCTGGGGCTGGTTTTGCCTTTTTTTTTTTTCTTTCGTATCCGGCTTTCAGCAGGGTGCCTAGCAGGTCAATGCTTGTTGACTGACTAAGAAAAAGGCAAAGAAAGGTTACAAAGAGCCAGGTCTACCCATCACTCCTAAGCTCATCTTGCTCATAGCACTGTTATAAGCATGGGTGGTTTAATTCAAGTTCATCACTGTCGCTGAAAAAGATCATTCAAAACTCATTCAAATCATCCTCCTCTGCCCCCTTCAGGGCCCATCTCAAATCCCACCTCCTCAGCTAAGCCTTCTGGGTAACTTCAGGCAATGCATCTTTCTCTTCTTTGATCATTTCTTCCTTTTGCATTTTGTCACTTGATTAATTCAGTTTAGCATTTTATTATACATACATTTTCTTGCACCAGTCATCAAATCCCAATGATGTTCCTGAGTAGTTCCCCTCCCCTTCTGGAAACTCTTCTTGACTGACTTCTGTGATTCCCTTCCCATACTTCAACCAGATTCTAAGATTCTTCTAGGTGGAGATCTTTGTATAAAGCAGAAGATAAGTTACTTGAAGGTAAAGCAATATCTTGTTTCTGTTATTAAATGTTTGTTGAATAAAATTTTGTTCATGAGATAACCTTCTTTTGGATCTACAACAATCTAGTTATAATTCTAGACACAGAGTAGGTATTCAATTTCAGCCAACATTCGTTAAGCACCTACCATTTGAGGAACACAACACTAGCTAGAGTTGAAAGCTTTTAGCTAAGATACTATCCTTGGCCTCGTGGAGCCTGCAGTCTAGCAGAGGAATAAGACACACATAAGACAGTTCTATAATGATTCATGATTGAGTTAGCAGAGAGGTAAAACAAAACAAAACTATGAAGCATTCAGGGAGGCAAGATCAAGAAACACTGTGCAGGACAATGGATAGTGTTGAACTTGGAGGACCTGAGTTCAAAACCAGCCTCAGACAATTATTAGCAAGAGGACCCTAAGCAAATTGTTGACCCTTCTGAGCTTCAGTTTCCTCATCTGTAAAATGAGGAGGGTGGTCAGGAGTTCTTAAACTGGGGCTTGTGAAATTAAAATATATATATTTCTGATAACTGGGTTTCAATATGAGCAGCTAGGGGGCACAGTGGATAGATAGTACTGAGTCCAGAGTCCTGAAGACTCATCCTTCTGAGTTCAAATTTGGCCTCAGACACCTACTAGCTGTGTGACCCTAGACAAGTCACTTCACCCTGTTTGCCTCAGTTTGCTCATTGTAAAAAAATGAGCTGGAAAAGGAAATGGCACACCACTCCAGTACTTTTGCCAAGAAAACCCCAAATGGGGTCAGGAGGAGTCAACTGAATAATCTTTCAATATAATTGATTGTAATTCTATATATTTTATTTTATGCACTTAAGAACATTTTTTTTTGAGAAAGGACTTATAGGTTCCTTCAGCCTGCCAAAAAAGTCCATCACACACACACACACACACACACACACACACACACATACACATTAAGATCTCTGAGATCCCTTCCAAATCTAAATCTACTATCATATGAAATATTTATTGGCTTGAACAGAACTGAAAGTCCTACTTCTTGTAGGTCTGGAGCGATCCTTGCATATCAAAGGCAGCCGGATTTTTATCATTTCATATAAACAGGAAAGTAGTGCTTCCAGGTTGTAAGCCACATCTGCCACACCTTTTGCTGGACCCTGACCACTGCAGTATAAAATATATCACTGACTAACGAGAGTCATGGCCAGCATCCCCAGCAGGAAAGAGCAACTTGCTAATTCATGAATTGGGTATTTGTTTATTCCTTCTTTGTGCAGGATAATCAATCTTTTACTAGCTTAAGTAAGACCCTATTCAGTAGTCTTTTTTATCGCATCTCATTGATTCAAAGGCCTGCCCAGGGCAGGAAGACTACTTTAGCAACCCCAACTGACAGAATTGTTCCCTCCCCCCCAACCACCACCTCCCAAAAAGATTCTTCCTGCTCAATACTGTAAGGGAAGGCCTCTCCCTGCCCAGCTGTTGTTACTCATCATTGATGCATTTGTAGGGACACTCAGAAATGCCTCTCTAGTAGGACTGGCTGTACCCAGATTATAGGGGTCAATACAGGAGAGGGTTGTCCCTGAAATTCTTCTGAAATAAAAGCTTGTGGAAATTCAGATGCGTTGTTTGCTGAAGTTTAAGGATGCCTTCAATGAAGGCAAAACATCTTAATAGTTTTAAAAAAAGACCTCCCTTCTTCAGTTATTGCCTTTCTCTTCTGCATTTTTAATCATTCCCTTTCCATTGAAATGCTTCCAATCTTCCTACAAATATTATCCTCTGGTCTAGACAATCCTCAATTTTAAAAAGTCTTTTCATAGTCCATCTGCTCCTTCAAGGTACTAACCCATCTCTCTCCTTTCATTGATTGCCTTGAAAAAGTAGCCATCATGAAAGCATGATTCATCATTGGCCATGGTGAATCATGCTTCCTACCTCCTGACAGAGAGAGGTGATAGACTAGAGGTGTAGCAGGAGGGGGAAATGACTGGGGACTAGAGGAAGTAATTGTGGTGCCACAAAAAGAAGAAAAGAAAAAAAGAGTATCAATGAAATATATATTTTTTAATACTGGAAAGCAAAAGAAAGTTCCAAAAAAGACAGACAAGCAGAACCATTTGGAACTGCTGTGTCAAATGTATTCTATATCTTTAAAAAAAACTGAGCTTCATGTATTAGAGATTTACAGTTTTTATATACAATCCTCTTTTGTTGTTCTCTGTATATGGAAGTGATTATTTGTGAATTGTTGTCAAATTCATAAAAAGAAAATAGAAAAATGTTTTCAAAGTATTCTATGACCAGGCTCTTTCTTTTCCTTACCATCTATTCAGTCATAGAATTAGATATAAGTTAGATTGCACAGTGATTATATCCCTGGACTTGGAGTCAAGAAGACTTGAGTTCAAAACTCATGCACTGACTACCTGTGTGACCCTGGGCAAGTTACTTAACTTTTATCTGTCTCAGTTTCCTTACGTGTAAAATGAGGATAATAATAGAGCCTACCTCCCAGGATTGGAGGGTTGTTATGAGGATCATATGAGATAATATTTACAAAGTTTGGCTTAGGACAGTGCCTAGCACACAGTAGCTACTTAATAAATACTTTGGAAAAAAAAATCATAAGATCACAGACTGAGAGTTGTAAGGGACTTTGGAGGCCATTCAATCCAATTCTCCCATTTTACAGATGAGAAAGCAGATTGAGGGAGGTTAAGTGACTATTCAGTGATCAAGTCCTTGTCATCTGACTTCTGTTCCCACCATTGTACTGAAATTGCTCTTCCAGAGTTCACCAATGAGCTCCTGATTACCAAATCCAATGATATTTTTCAGTCCTCCTTTTCACTGACTTCTCTGTAACGTTTGACACTGTTGACAGCCTCCTCCTTCTGGACTCTCTCCTCTAGCTCCCTGATTTCCAAGGCTCTACATTGTTCTAATTCTCTTTATAATCCTTAAACTGTTCCTTTTCTATTTCCATCGATAACTTCTCTTCCTCTTCCCCACTGTTTGATGTTGGTGTTTGAAAGCATTCTTCCATCCTGGACCCTTTCCCATTTTCTCTTTATGTTTTCTCCTGTGGTAGTTTCATTCATTCATGGCAGCTCAATTTTCTCCTTCATGAGATGACACCCGAGGCATATCCTC